ACCCCCACCCCCACCCCCCGGCCCTGGGCCGAGCCGGGAGCAGCAGACCTCGGCCCAGGCTGCAGAGAAGGCAGCGGGCAACGGGGCCCGGGCAGGGCTCCGAGAAGGACGCAGGGCGCGGGCCGGATTGCAGGGACACCGGGCGGGGGAAAACTCGTGCGGACTACTGTGCGCCTCGAAGGCGGGACTGGACGGCCCCCCTCACCCACGCCCCCTCCGACCCCGCACACAGCCCCAGCGTCCAGGGCAAAGAGGACCACAGATTAGCACTTGGGATTCGGATCGTTTTGGAGTTCGGCTTGTTTATTCCTGAAAAGATCATAAAAAGTAATGTCCAATAATGGGGGCGGGGTGATAAGCGACAGGAACCGGAGGCAACTTGCGCAGGGTCCCAGAAGAGTTGCGGCGGAGCAGAGCTGGGGTGAGGGCTGGGAGCGCAGGGAGCGTTTTCTAGCGACCCGGGTTTTCTTTATCAACTCCTCCGAGTAAACTTCACCCCGACAGAGAGAGCAACAGACGGCCTCGACTCCTGCCCGCCCTCCGCCAGCGTCAACCCCACAAATAACCAGTTTCCAAACCAAAATGGGAGTGAGGTAGGGTAGCGCTAAGAAGCCCAGAAGCTCAGCGGGTCCCCCCGACCTCCCGCACCCCGAGCCTGGCTGACACTGAAGCACTCTAAAAACTGCGGCATCACAGTCACCCGGCGAATCAGCCCAACACTTTTTAAGAAAACAAAATATTTGCTAGGAAACTTACTTTGCATTTAGTCTCTATTCTTTGGGGGGATGCGGTTTAGATCGACTCGTAAATGAAGCTCGTTTTGTCCAGGTTGGATATTGTCTACTTATGGATCAGCCCCTGGGTGAGGGTTTATTTTAATTTATGGCTTATGCATTCTTTTAAGGTCGATTTACATGACCTCCGGCTACAACTAAGACAGCCGAGGAGGGCACTCCAGTCGTCTGTCGGCCAAACCCACAATTAAAACAGCCCTCCCCCTAGTCTCGGTATGACCAGGACTCTCCCGGAGTAGGCTGGATCTTTTCCGTTTCTTCTTTCTTCGCTTCTTTCTTTTTTCCACCTTTTTATGTTTCTCTCTCTCTCTCTCTTTTTGACCGAGAAATAAGATGAGATATCACTTTGAAAGTTTCAATATAACTTTCTCTAAACCCTACTAAGCTTGCAGCGATGAGACACACAGCGCTCACAAAGCCCTCAGGATGTTGCCCTCTTGTGGGCTAAAAGGGCACTACCACCCAGGAGTCCCATCTGAGCCCTCAGAGCGTACACGCAACGACGAGAGAGAGAGAGAGAGAGAGAGAGAGAGAGAGAGAGAGAGAGAGAGACCACGCTCCTCGCAGGCATACAAGCTGCCTCCATCACACACTTGCGCGAACTTCCAAGAAATACCTACCTCAAACTTCAAACTTCACACTTCACGGAGGCTTAAAATTTCATTCTCTAAGCCACCTGACTTCTTTTTCATATCATTCCCAGTTATTTAGATTAAAATATCTATTCGGGGAGACGGAGGTGGAGTAAGGTGGGCCAAGAGGGCAGACAGATTTTCGGACGAGTACTTAGGATGCGAAAACAGCTTTCTGTTATCAAAGGTTGCGTTTTCTGTCTCTCTCCCTGCCCTTTTGCCTTAGTGTCCCACGCACAGTTATCTACAGCTACAACATGTGTTTTCTCGGAGTGGATTTGAAGGGGGGCGGCAAGAAAACCAGAAGCCCGCCAGGCAGATCTGCCACCGCCTCCGGAACCAGGCTGGACTCTCCGAGAGGGGGACGCATCCTGAGGCTCCGCGTCCGGCCGAGCTGCCGCTCTCCGGCCCCTCTCCCCTCCACTCCCCCTCCGCGCCGGCAGCGGGACGTCCTCCTCCCGCTCCTCCTCCCGCTCCCCTCCCCAGCCGAGTTCAGAAACCCGCCCCGGCCGGGCAGCCTCCGCTCCCGGCAGCCTGCGCCCTCTCGGGCTCCGCTCTGGGCTCTTCCTCCCCGGCCCCGCAGTCTCAGCTCCGAGAAACTCATCCCGGAGCTCCCCGGAAGGGCGGGAGTGGACGGCGCTGGGGGCTGGCACTGGGGCCCGGCCCTGGGCTCCTGCCCCTGGCCCCCTCCAACTCCCCAACAGGTAGCTCACTCGGGCCGCGAGCTCTCTCTCTGCCTCCCTCGCTCTAGATCGCTCGCTCCTTCCCGGTTACCTGGGCGGACTCCAGGATGGTACCGCACGGCAGGGCTCCTTGTGCGCTGCGCCGCGGGAGTAAATGGCATTAAAGAAAAAGGGAAACACACAAATAAAAAAAAATAAAGGAAGGGGAGTCGATTATAGGTCAATTAGCCCAGCCCGGGGAGCACGGGCACAGAACTCCCCGGCGCCGCGGCCCGCAGCCCGTTAACTCAAGTCTGCGGGGCTGTCCCGCTGCGGGCGGGGGCGGCGCAGCCGCTGAAGTTTACCGCGGGGGTGCCCGGAGGTGCGCGCGGAGCGGGGCAACTAGGGGCTTCCCCCCGAAACAAGTGAAGGCGATGGTTAGTGCTGTCAATCTTGGCAATCAGTGTGAGCGGCCATGTCGTAAGTATTCAAAGCATTTCCCGTCGTGCAACATCAGAAAGTGAGTGGCCAGGGCATTGATCTGAGCGAGGGAGAGGAGGCAGGGCTCCCCTCCCAGACAACACAGGCAAGATGAGACAAGAGGCGAGGGAGCAGCGAGCCAGGCGGGGAAGCTGGGAGGGAGGGGGAGAGCTGGGGGGAGAAGGAGGGGAGAGCGGGAGGCAGAGGCAAGAGAGAGCCGCGGAGAGGAGGGCAAAGAGACCGGCGAGACCCGGGCTTGATTAGAGAGAGCCTCTGGACAGAATAAAGTGACTACTAGAAGAGAACTTGAAGGGGACAAAGAGGAAGGAGGCTCAGGGTCAGAGGAAACAGCGACAAGTATTATTAGATGAGGCGAGGCAGGCTGAAGAGAGCGCTATTAGGGCTGGGGCTTCTGGGAGGAGGAGTCAAGAGGAAGGCAAAAAAAGCAGGGTAGAAAGGTGGCCAACTGTGGAGGAAAAGGAGCGCACTAGAAGTAAGGAAGTCAAACGGGAGAGGAAAATGTAGGGATGGTAGCTTTGCTTTGGAAGTTAGGTGACAGAAGGAGGCTTGGGCTCAATGTCTGGAAATACTGAAATACAGAACTGGACCACAAGTGAGTCAATAGGAGAAACCCCGAAGGGCAAGGACGGGAGGCAAGGAGACCAGAAAGGAAAGGGGGAAGGAGGATGAATAATAAAAAGGATGAAAGAAAATGAGACAAGTGGTCAAGAGAGAGAAAAGAAAGAGATGGAGGAAGCAGAGATCATGAAAACACCAGTTGGTAGAAAATGTAGGAAGAGAAACATTTTAAAGCATGGAGGAGGAAAAATGCAAAGGAAAGGGAATGTTATAGCAGACTCCTAACGCACGTAGGTGGCAGTGTTCTGGAGGCCACATGGATTATGGAATATATGAATTAAATTTTTAAAAGTAAAAAGACAGGTATATACTACCAATGAAAACTTTATACCTGTATATCAGTAAATAAAATAGTTCTACATTTATAATATGGATGAGTCTGGGTTGCATGGAATCAAGTAGAGGATATATTGTATTACTTTATATATGTAAAGGAAAAGAGGTAATTTAAAGATTGTAGAAGATAAGGAGTTTCAAGTAACCTAAAACAGTACATAAAATGGCATAAGTCAGATATAGAAAACTATGTTAATAATCCCCCAAAAAACTCACACAAATTAAAGATTCCCTTTGATTAATGTGTAGGATAGATTAAAGATTTGAAGAGTTTTAAATGGCCTAGAGGGGCAAAGACCTGGAAATTTATCTCCTTGGGGAGAAAAAAGCTGGAGAACCAGGAAGGGAGAGAATAATGGTGGTGTCAATTAATTAAGATGCAAAATAAGAGGTGAGAAAATTAGCTTTGAAAACAGCACTAGCTAACCACAGGCAGTGTGCAAAGGGTGAAGGTTGGCCTGCTTCAACCTAGGCCCAAAGAGATAGACTAGATTGGAGAAACTGAAGTTGGTGGAGAGTCAAAACTACATCAAAATTAAAAGCTAGGAGAAAAGTTCTGACATAGCTGGCATAACCCGCAGAGATTTCTGAAGGCTTCTGTTATGGTGAAGCTGATCTGAGATGGCCATCTTGAGACACCTCATAAAACAGACTTTGTGAAAGGACATACAGACCAGGAGAAAGAGGTCAGGAATGGTGGCTTAAACACCCAGAAAAACATACCGGCAAACTAAAATTGCTAACATAAGGAAGATCTCCCACAGATTAAGTGACAGAGGATAAAAGGGAGAAAGTCTCATCTTTGTTGTGGAGAGAGTAAGCAAGCAAAGAAGAGGGAGACAATGAGATGTCAATCATATATTAGCTTCTTAATGTATACTCTGTTTGCTTCCATATGAACTCCAGACAAGAGAAAGAAAAAGATAGAAATAAGGGTGATGAGGGGTACCTAGGATCCGTGGGGCAGAAGTAATGGCCAGATGTTTCTGTCCCAGTGGGAAATATGATGCTTGAGGATTGGAAGCTTGGACAGTTTGAGTTAAACTGACCTAATGACTGCTGGTTGGGAAGAGAATGAGTTCCTGACAAGAAATCTAGTGTCTACTGCAATTTTCAGGGTTGGAAAGTCTCCACAACCTAGAGAAGCCAAGCAGTACTCCTTGGTACCTTGCAGGCCAGCTCCTTTATAAAACTGGGCTCCCAGAACAAATGGTAAGGCTCCCCCTTGCCCTCTGAGGCCCAAGGAGCAGCCCAGACCTGTGTTTCTTGCCTAAATAACTCAATAACTCTTCTGTGTGTGTGTGTGTGTCTGTGTGTCTGTGTGTCTGTGTGTCTGTGTGTGTGTGTGTGCATGGCCAGACTGGGCCCAGCTCTGGGTTCCTGAGCCTCACACTGTCTGGTCGCCAGCCCTGAAACTCAACCACAGAGGCCAAAAAAATTTCTCCAAACCCCAAAGACGCTAACATCGAATGACCTTTCCTAAAAGCCTGCAGAGAAAAGAGGGGGTAAGTTAGATTCCCAAGCATGATTCCTCAGGGAAGAGCCACAAAAGTGGTGAAACATCAGGGACAGAAACACTAGGGAGCGACTGGGTCTTTCCAATTGCAAACAGGTTTGGTTTCCCAAAGACCAGAGCGTCAGCCTCTTTAAATCACAGGGTTCTCTGGGCTCTCAGAGGCAAGACTGACCCCGCCAACCAGATGCAGGCCGCTGGCAGGAGGCAAGAAGAAAAAGAAGACATTATCAAGATCTCTGTTGTCCAGGACCCTCATACCCGGCCAGGATGGACTTTCTGAAAAGGAGCGGCAAGAACTCTCTTTAGATTTTAACTAATAAAGTAATATCAGAGTCGACTGTTTCGGCGGAACCCGGAGCAGGTCAGAACACTGATCTCTAAAAGGAAGGAAACAGAAGTTTGGGGTCTCGGTGCTGCACTTCAAGCTGTACACGGGGCGACACGTGGCCCTAGGGATGGGAGTACTGGCCGAAGGTTCCCTCCAGCCCCGGCCCAGGCTGTACTGAGCAGTGGGCGAGGCGGAGAGCGCTGCAGCGTTGCAGCGCCGGGATAGTCACCTGGTCCGCACCGGCCTGCGGGCTCCTGACGAAGTCCCCAGAGGAGCAGAGGACATCCAGACGTGCGGCAGCCAGTTGCCTGAGCACACAGCCGCACTTCCCCTGGGGGTCGGAGACTCCCTCGCCAAAGGAACCCGGGTGCTGAACTCCCGGGCTCCAGGGCTGGAAGGAGGAGCGAGAGGGTGGGGCCGACTTACCTTCCGCAGCGGTCATCGCAGCCTCTGCGCGGTCCGGGTGTCCCTGCGCACTGCAAGCAGCACAGGCTACTCGGCTTTGCTAAGTTTGGCCTCGCACCTTCAGAGAAGAGGCGCGAACTCGCAAAGGAAAAGCGAGCGAGGTTCCTGGAGAGAGGTCCCCCTGAGCTTGGGAAGGGCAACGCAATTAATTCTGAGGGAGAAGTTAATATTTACAACACCTACGCAAAAATCATAACGGCCATTAAAACCTCGAATCCCCGCTTTGAAAGTCTCCTACACCAGCCAGGCGCATAATTCAGACCTACACAACTTCATCATAAGGTCGCTAACTTCTTTCAGGAAGGGCTTCAGAACTAGGAACTGTATGAACAGGACAAACATAAATGTCATTCACTCCAGAACACCCAAAAGGAGAACTTGTACTGAAACGAAGAACAAGTGAAAGAGTATAAAAACCAAAAGAAAAGAAGTTGAAAACTTTAATTACAGCATGGACAAAAGTTTTCACAATTGGTTTCCTCAAACGGGATAGCAAACACACCAACACTCCAGCAGCGCAATGCACTTTGCTTAAGTTTGGAGTAACCAAATAAGCCGGACTCCCAAACACCAGTGTCCTTGGGACTCTGCCTCAAAGGGGTCGGAACTTATGTTTCAGAAGCAAAACCAAAAAGCAAATTGTGAACAATGCTCTGCGTCCTTTTAGATGTTATTTTGCAAAAGGATAAGGCGTCATCCTTTGACTTGAACTGGATGGAGAATAGCATTAAATCTCCTTTGACTCTGCCAGTCATCCTGTTGGGAAGACCACAACCGCAGCGACAGTAGCAGAGAGCAGTGCCACAAAGGAGGTGGGGAAAAGTGGTAAAAAAAAAAAAAAAAAAAAAAAAAAAGAAAGAAAGAAAGAAAAATGCATGAACTTTTTTTTCAAAGAAAAATAAAGATACGTCAAAAATAAGTTTTACAGACATGCCTTTCCTAGCTTAGGAAAGTTAATTTTCAAATGTGCTTCTGCTGTCTAAGGTGCAAAGCGGAGGCTGGGGGAGTGTGTGGCTGGAATCTGCATGCTGATAAGAGAAGGCTGCGTACTTACAGTGACAGAGGGCTGGCTGCGGGAGGAGAGCTGTTTGTGTTAGTCTGCGAGTTACCCAGGGCTGCAGTGAGAGCAGAAGGGAGGAGTGGGGATGCCAGGCTGCGTACACCTTCACCGCGTCTCATTACATCTGCCAGCCTCTCTCCCTCTCTCTTTCATTTCCACATTCCCTTTGTTCCTGAAAAAAAATCTACACGTCACATCAGAGTCCCCAGATGCAGCCTACACCAAAGAAAAAAATGAATAATTCAATCAAACTGTGCATAGTCTCTAAGGCAATAAATCTATTGCACTTAAAGAAACGAAGGGTAATTACCACCATGGAATTAGAATAAGGCCAAAGACCAGAGATGTCGCTGAGTCTCTGGGTAAACTCCCCGGTCAAATAAAGTTTCATTTAT